TTTGACATCAACTGTTTGCAATTTTAGAGTTGCTTGCGAAAATTGACTGAACCGTAACGCATGCATAAATTCGATTTTGGCTGAAATGAGCAAACGACCGGAGACGTATCGACTTTTTTTTTCCAAATAAAATACAAATTTATTATTGATTTGCTATACTGAAATTGCGGCAAATGGAGCTAGTCGTGAGCATGTCCTATGGAGATAGAAGTACAACACAGGAAGAAGTAGAGTCTTTTAAGTTCAGTAGTCAATGTTTCAATCGAATTAAACCCGATGAATATGATGAGCATTCAAAAACCGGAAACATTTGAAATACATTGCCGTTTTATATGCCAATATCAGTTTGAAACAAAAACAAAGCCATCAATGTACACTAATTTGAAACCTGTATGATTTATCCTTGTAAAAGAGTATAACCTTATAATATTTTTTCAATACTCCACAGCCTATACCGTTTGTGGAATTTGAGTTTTTATTGTTTGTTTCCTTTTTGGACCAATTTGAAGTCTAGACGGATAAAAAATAAAGAAAGGGTTTGATTTTAAAAATATCCATATTAATCATCGCTGAATCTTACTGCTACGTCTGCAATTTGTTTCTAATGTGTGGACTGGCTATTTTTTTACAGAGATTTCAGTATTAAATTTGTAAGCCTCGAAGAGATGAAGCCTCTATAAGAGAAGTACCTAAAAAACGCATACCAATGATTCCTTTAATTTTTTTATAATATGGTTATGCCAAAAACATGCCTACACAAACACCCAAAATTGCCCAAGCACAGATTCTACTGATTCGTGGTATGGTACATCTAAAACCTTTCCTCAGGCGACTTGGCGAACGCAGTGCATCTACAGAGAACGCTGCTGCCCATTCTTGTGGCGGATTTATCTATTAGACTATTATGTATTCTGTGCTAATTAGTCACTTTTTTCCCTTTGGTCTACAATGGACAGATTCTATTTTGGACATCATATTCTAATTTGGACAGATTCTACTTTGGACAGATTCTATTTTGGACAGATTCTGCTTTGGACAGATTCTACTTTGGACAGATTCTACTTTGGACAGATTCTACATTGGACAGATTCTACTTTGGACAGATTCTGCTTTTGATATTGGTCTTTTCATTTATCATATTTCTGAAGAAGTTAAGGGTGTGCGGTACATTACTTTTGGTAAAGGGATCAAAATATAAAACTAGCAGTTATATTAAACCAATCTTTATTTATTCATAACGATCAATTTACGATGTAAAATAATCAAATAAAACATGTCTTCTCTTTAATGAACAATAATTAAAAATAATGTAAGTTGAAATCAGCAATCAATCATAACCCGTTAATTATGTAACGCAGTGTTTTTCAAACTTTTGAAATACGCGACCCTCTCCGGGCAAAATCAATGGCGACCCTGTTGGGTCATCATAGAAACACAAAATTAGTAATTTTATTTATTCAATGGCGGATACAGAAAACTACAAGCCACGCATTTTTTACGCTAAAAACGATCATAAAAGCTTGAAAGTTCGTGAAAAACAGGCTGAAAAATACACGTATCGCGAGCGAAGCGAGCTCGACTTTTCACGCAACAAACAGGTAAAAAACGTTTTGGTACAAAACACATGCACTGCATAAAATAGCAGAACGTTTTGAAAGTTTTGGAATATAAACATGCCCATTCTTTGTCTCTAAAATTGTGATTTACTGAATTTTATCCGACCACCCACCTGTGGTTCTGCCTTGACTCTTAGCTTTTGCCGGCGACCCCCCTAGGAAGGCTCCGCGACCCCCCTGGGGGTCGCGACCCACAGTTTGAAAAACACTGATGTAACGTATTACATAATTGATAGGTTATGTATAGAGATGTGTAAGAGAAGACATGTTTTATTTGATTATTTTTCATTGTAAATTGTATGTCGCAGGCTGCCGTCATTCATACGGATCACCAGTACATCTCCACAGTAAACTTAATTTTAGAATGAAACGTCGAGACTCTATAAGCCTCGACTTAAAACAACAAGGTTAGTCGTTAGTAACATTAAATATATTTTGATCCCTTTACCAAAAGTAATGTACCGCACACCCTTACCTTCTTCAGAAATATGATAAATGAAAAGACCAATATCAAAAGCAGAATCTGTCCAAAGTAGAATCTGTCCAATATAGAATCTGTCCAAAGTAGAATCTGTCCAAAGTAGAATCTGTCCAAAGCAGAATCTGTCCAAAATAGAATCTGTCCAAAGTAGAATCTGTCCAAATTAGAATATGATGTCCAAAATAGAATCTGTCCATTGTAGACTAAAGGCTTTTTTCGACGAATTCGTAATAAGTATGAGTAAAAAAAATTACTGCAAATATATTAAGGGCTAAACCCTCCCATAAAAGTGATCAACTTTCCCCAAGGAACATAGGTCAAAAACTGAAATAAGATATTGTTGACATCCCATACAAAATGTACCAGCCAACCGCGAGTTAATTTGTAGGGAGGTCCATTTTTTTTTCATATTTCGTGCTATGTTCCTCGGGGAATGTTGTTCAGTTTCCCTTAAAATATTTGCAGTTGATGTAAGTTGTTTTCATCCACATTGTTTTCCTCTAAAACATTTCCATCGACTCCATAATAACTTTTCACTAATGCACTCCAATCAAATGTTTTGTCTAGACGAGTCTAAATAAAATAATATTTTAATCTGAAGCCAAGTTTTCTACTTAGTGCGAATGCCCTGCAGTGCACAAAAATGTTTCAGCAACAATATTACAATGAGTATCGTCTGGACTTTTGAAGGTGAACAGAAAGTTCACTATATTCTGTTAGATTCATTCCAATTGGTTCTTATGCAGGGGTACGCAACATACCGTCCCCTAAAAGTCGTATGGACGTAACTTGAAAAACTTGATTTTACAGGAGAAGCGATTGAAAGTTGGCAAAAAGTTTAAAATTGTGTCATAAATTTGTGTTAACATTTACGATCATAATTTTTTTTATGTGAATGCGTCAAATGGCTAAAATTAAGAACATACATATAAACTTCGAAAAAAGATACAGGTTTTTTTATAAAAAAATAAAAATCGACTTACGTCTATATGCAAAAAAAAAATTCAAAGCAATTGAAGTTACACCTGCTTAAATCAATAGTTACGGCAGTTCGTTTTGAAATCTTTTGCAATGTTTTTGTTGGCTTAAGCTATGAAAATATATTCGGATCAAAAAAACAGTTCTACCAGAAATGAGATAGACTTCATTATGGCCTCAAAGAGATAAATTTTTAATGATGTCTCGGTGATCAACAGGGTTAAAACCGGCAGCAATCACCGAATGGTCAGAGGCACGTTGAACATAAATGTCAAACTAGAACGGTCTCGCCTAGTGAAGTCTACGCTCCGACCATCTGCGACCCATATTCAAAACTCGGAATGCTTCCAACTGGAACTTACAAATCGCTTTGCTTGCCTAGATTGCGATACCGTGGACGGTATAAATAACAGTTTGGTGGAAACTGTCCACACAGTCGGCTCCAAGTTCTATATGCCCTGTCGTAAAAAACGACCTCAAAAACTAACCGGTCGAACTTTGAACCTCATGGTTGAAAGGCGTTCTATGACGCTGCAAGGCTATGACGACACGGAGTCATATCGGTGGCTCAACAGACAGATATGCCAGTCCCTGCGGAGCGATATTCAAAACTTTGATACTAAAAATATTAAAGAAACGATTGAGCAAAACAAGGGCATCAAAGTTTTCGCCAGGGACCAGTCTATTGGGCAGAGCCAGCTGACAAAGCTGAAGACGGAGGACGGCAGGGTAGCGTCCACGAGGCCAGAGGTACTGAGGGAGATCGAACGGTTCTATGGTTAGCTGTACAATTTGCCACTATGCTTAGCGTTTGTGGACTATGCGAAGGCCTTTGATTCTATCGAGACGTGGGCAGTACTGCAGGCTCTACAGCGGTGCCACATTGACTACAGGTATATTTTTTTTTTTTTTTTTTTTTATTTATGATGGGCTTACTCTTGACCCCAATCTTACCCTAGAGCAGAGATGGGATCTACGGTGGAGCGAGCTTGCCCAGAAGATGCCTATTCACTCTAGACTTAAAGAGATTCAGGTTATATGCACTCGGAAATACAGACGCAGGCAGGGAATTCCATTCTTTAGCCGTGCGCATAATGAAAGATGATTTGAAGCGCTTAGTGCGTAATGTGGGTATATCAACTAAGAACGGATGGTAGCCGGCCGTGTCATGCCATGACACACTGGTGTGATGACCTACGGTGCCGTGACGTGGTCTCTAACTGTCGGCCTCCTAAATAGACTAGGAGTCACTCAGCGAGCTATGGAGAAAGCTATGCTCGGTGTTTCCCTACGTGATCGGATCAGAAACGAGGAGATCCGTAGACAAACCAAGGTAACCGACATAGCTAAAAAAGTCAGTAAGCTAAAGTGGCAATGGGCAGACCAAATTGCTCGAAGAACTGATAATCGGTGGAGCAGGAGAGTTCTCGAGTGGAGACCACGTACCAGCAGGCGCAGCGTAGGATGCCCCCCCGCGAGATGGACAGACAATCTGTTCAAGTCCGCGGGGAAATGCTGGATGCAGGCCGCTTCTAATCGGACAAGGTGGAAATATTTAGGGGAGGCCTATGTTCAGCAGTGGACGTCCTATGGCTGATTATGATGATGATGATGATTTTCTCATACAGACGTATCTTAGGATACCTCTAAAAATGAAATTAAAAAAATTGCGACGTAAAGGGGTAAGTTAACTTACATCCCTATGTTATAAAGCAATATGTTGTGAAATAAGTTACGACTTACCTTATTTTGGAAACTAAGGTACTTAGAGATACACCCATAAGCGTGAAAAAAACTACATAAATTTCTGAATCTTTTAGTGTATATAACTCATTTTCGTAAAAAATCAAGTTATGTCCTTACGTTTTGAAGGGGACGATTACGTGTATTTCATTATTAAGAGTTACTTCACCAGGGTCCGCTAGGCGCCCGTGGCTCAGTTGGCAGAGCGGTGGGTCGGTACCCCACGGTCCCGGGTTCGGCGGTCGCTGGTGAATTTTTAAATTTTATCATTTTCAATTTATATGAGTTACTTATTTATTTATTTAAAATAAGTGTATTTATTTCTGGCAATTTATAGTTGGAAGTTCGATTGCAAAGTTTGTTTGGCGTCTGATACTAGAGCTCTGAAATGGAGATTTTAAACAGTCGATGAAAAAATAGACTTAGCGATCACAACTAACACTATCTAACTCTACTGGTCTTAACACTATATAAGGTCCTATTAAATTCACTGCACATATTTTAGGGCCAGATCAAATAGAATATAAGCATGTACTAGGCAAATTTTTAAAGAAATCTACACGCTAGTTTTCGAGAAAATTGCATTTAACTAAAAAAAGAAAAATAACGAAAGTAGTGCACCCTGTTTGTCCTAGAAACACAAACTTCGATAAATTTAAATTACGCGCTAAAAAAAGGTGCTGTGATTGGTTGATTGTTAGTGTGCGTGCCGTGTAAGTGAATCCTCCCAACGAACAATATTGCCTCAGAACACAGATGTTATAGGAATATGACACTATTAAGATGCCTATATTGACTTACACGATCGCAATTTCACTTAAATAGATCTCAGAAAGTGCTATTTGGTATTTGATCGCAAATAGTCTTATATTTAAGCTTGTAGACGTTTATAAGTTTGTGCATTTAGACTACTATAAGCCAAATCGTCCAGTAACAGCTTTCACTAGGAGCAATCAGGCTCAGGAACGATAAGTCAAATAAGAAGGGCTTATAAGCACCTACAAGATTAATTTTTACCCTACTATAGAACCAAAACTCCTAATGAAGCTTTTTCCAAGTGTAAATGGACTTGATGCCATTTACACTTGTTACTTAGTTTTAAAAACGTTAATAAGAACCACATTCAAGTCTATTATCAAACCAAATAGTTTTAGAAGTGCATCTGTAAGTGTACAATTAGACTAGAAATACTTGAGCTAGTAACGCTCTTAACAATGCCACTATTGTCGCAATTAGTTTGATAGTAGCTATGCTTAGTGCTATTATCAAACAAAATAGTTTTACAAAGGCATCTGCAAGTGTAAAGTAGGACTAAGAACACTTGAGCTAGTAAAGCTCTTGGCAATGCCATTATTGTCGCAATTGGTTTGATATTAGCTATGCTTAGTGCCATTATTAAACTGAATAGATCTTTAAAGGCATCTGTAAGTGTAAAACTAGACTAGGAATACTTAAGCTAGTAAAGCTCTCGGCAATGCCGTTATTATCGGAATTGGTTTGATAATAGCTATGATAAGTGCTTTATTGTCAAATAAAAACCTGAAGGGCAAATCAAAAACTTTGGTTAGGGTTCCGTACCTATTAGCAGTACAGCATGTGGTTCAGGGGAGGATACAAAAAATATATATAATGATAATTCAAGTGAGAGTGAAACTAGCGTTAAAGATGCGAATTTAGGTAAAATTATGAGTTTCGAGAAGATGCAAAAAAGCAGTTTCGCCTCGCCCTCGTAACTCCGTCAGTTTAAGACAAAATTACATCTAATTTGGTGTAAAGATATAGATCGAACCCACCTACCATGATATAGCAGCCACATTAGTCCTATCGGGGAGGTATTGCCATACTGTGTCGTCGTCAATCTAAATAACATTGCACGCGAATTTTTGCATACTATGCTTACACATAAGGGACGATATACCATAAACTTTGCAGGGATGAGAGAGTCAGCGTCAGGCCATGAAACTGGACAACTTTTTTATGGAGGCTAATTAGGTAAAAGAGAACCTATTTTTATCCATTACGAATTTGCTGCGCGTTAATCGCGCGTCCGCAGCAAATTTGCTGTGCAACCGTCGCGCGTACTTCACGATTTCGCCATCGCTCCGCATCTGCTCGCAACACGCTTGTGTGATGTGATATGAGCCACAGGCTTCCTTCAGAAGATCCATGTCTTAATGGTTATTTGTAGGAGATGGTAAAGAAAAAACAATAACCAATTTTAATACCAGACTTTTATTCCTATGCCACTAATTTGAAATTAGTTAAACAAATAAATAAGAATGTATATTTCACCTCTTGGAGACTTGGAAATCTAATCACTTGTACCTAAACCTGTTACATACAAACCAGAAAAATAAAAGGTATTGTAATACGTAATACGAAGCTGCCTCGGTCTCCGCTAACTAGATCATATTTTCCGGTCTGGTTACTTTCAGTGTCCAATAGAAATTCTTCAGAATCTGCAAGAAATAACAAATTAATAATCCTTTGTAATGAAATTTAACGTTATATCCAGTTAATATTTAGCGTCTTTTTTATATTTCGTCACGGATCTCCAAATGCCAAAGACATGGCGAATGTGAAGTTTTGAATGAGACATTACAGAATCAAGTTTGACTATAGTGGTTTTAAAACACACTTCGAAATGCGAAACCAAAAATGGCTGTTCTTAATGATTATGCGGAACATTTTGTTCATTTTAAATAATAAATTTCAGTGTAGTATTGCATATTTTAAGAAGCGCTTTACAATTTTAACTAGAAACTTGGCATATTTCACAGAAAATACGAGTTCCCTGCATGTTTCTCATACACGCAGTGAATAAACGAACACTCTTGAGAAATTTAATATGACTTACCTTTTAACATTCTTTGATGATATTTTATCCTTAACTTTAGTATTTTACAAAGATAACACTTCAAACATTTAATGTGGACTGAATGAATGACAATGAACGAAATGAATGAGTTGGTTCTTGTTGAAGAATCCTGAAGTGCATAATAGTCTCATTTAGTTTTGTTAGATGCTAGTAGTAGCTTACGTAGGAGTAAATAGTTTTCCAAAAGCTGTTACAAGCCTTTTACAGTCCTAGATTTAATTACGTGGGAATGCTATAGGACTATAAAAAAACTTTAGTTTTGTTGGAAGCTAGTAGTAGTTTTCGTAGGAGTGAACGGTATTCCAAATGTTGTTACAAGGCTTTTACAGTACTAAATTGCTTTCCGTGAGGGTACTACAGGATTATTAAAAAACTAAATAGCCTTGTAAGTGTGCCTTTTTCCGGGTTTGTAGAGGTTTATAAGCTCGCTACTAGTGCGATTAAAATTGGTCTTAGGTTCCTTACAAAACCACTTTTTGCTCGTTGGGCTGTCTACGTGGCGGAACGTCAGTCGGGTCAGTCAAAGGATGTTCACATAATTAATTAAAAAGTTTGTTTGAAAACGAAAAAAAGAAAATCTAGCGTGTAGATATTTTTAAAAATGCCTCAGATGTTTTTGTTATAGTCTAAGCGGGTACGGTCAAATATCACCCGAAAGCTGTTTTGCCGGCACAGTTGATGCCGCTTTGCTCAGTGATACTAGGGACCATTGTGAATGATTCCATCCGAGGAAATGAAAAATCCATCCACTGGATTTCAAGATGGCGGACCTTCGTTTTTTTGTATAGCACTAAAAAAATAATTCTTCTGGAGCCCATCGTGTGGGGTATCAAATGAAAAGGCTAGACGAGACGATTTCAAAAATATATCGTTTTAATACATTTCAGTTGCCCTCTTAGAAAAAAACCAAGTTAAATTTTAAAAGTAGTTAAAACATGCCAAATTTGAGGTACAAAATGGCTGACATATAGTTTCATAAAAGGATGCCAAATGATCCACCATATCCTTAACTCTAACGTGACGAAAGGAATTTTGAAAATAATAAGATTTAATGTATGTTTTGCAATGGAAAGTAGATCATTGGAAACTGCAGTAGGTTAGTTGCTTGTACGCCTTCATAAATATTTAAGATGTAATTCTTCTCATGATTGCTTTTACACTTAAAGCTAGATTATGATGTGCCGGATCATTTTGAATCTGCGGGCACGGTTGTGCCCCCGCCAAGTTGAGTAAAAAGCCATAGGCACCATGTTGCTCTACTCATGAATGCTATCTCAGTTTAGTAGGCCCGTAAGAAAAATTCATGTTAGAAATAAGTAGTGCCTGCTGTACCGTTTTTATTTTTGTATTTGTCCTGTATTTGTTTTTGTGTAGGTACCTACAATAAATTATTAAATTAAATAAAATTGTTTCTCTCGAAACAGTTCAGGCCAATTTCGACGCCCGAAACAACGATATTTTGGATAACATTTGAAACCTGTGTGTTAAAGACCCAAACAGTCATTAAATAAACATTCAATATTTCAAAAAATCATTCAATTCCCTTAAATCTGTTACTCATTCGACGGAACATAAAACTTCTAAAGCACTTTTAGATTACATGTACCTAGTTATATGAATGAAGTGAGATCAAAAAAGCCTTATGTAAAGATTTGAGATACCATCAAAACACAACTCAAAAAAAGCATGTCTCACCACTCATTAGGTACATCTACCGCAAAAAAAATAAGTTTTCGTACATAAAATATTGACTTCGAGTACGGTCGTTCCAATGGGGTGCGTAAGTTTTGTTATAAAAACAGATGATATATTTTTGTTTGTGATAACGCTAAAAAGACATAACTTTTGTTGACCTCAAACTTGGCATGTTTTGACTACTTTTAAAAATGTAAGTTGATTTTTTTCTTAGAGGGCAATGGAAATGTATTAAAACGATATATTTTTGAAATCGTCTCGTCTCTTTCATTTGATACCCCACACGATGGGCTCCAGAAGAATTATTTTTTTAGTGCCATACAAAAAAACGAAGGTCCGCCATCTTGAAATCCAGTGGATGGATTTTTCATTTCCTCGGATGGAATCATTTACAATGGTCCCTAGTATCACTGAGCAAAGCGGCATCAACTGTGCCGGCAAAACAGTATTTTTTTGCTAAGGACCATGACTATTATACATATTTACCTACGCATACCCTTTAAATATTTGCAGTTAATTTAATAGGACCTTATATTGGTCTTCAAATGGCTGTTTCGACTAGAATATTTCGCATGATTTAAAAGACGTGAGGAATTTAAAAAGAAACCAGGAATAAACACGAACCGTGTAGTAAACAGTACTTCACTGGTATGTCAACTGAGTTACTAAGTTTG